TACACTCACACATTACGAGTTGGACTTCCAGGGCCTGTTGCTTGAAAAGATAATGACTTAGAATTTAGAAATTCTCTTAAGTGAATTTGCGTGTTCTTTGGCAACCAACATCTGTGTGTATGTGTGTGTATAAGGAGCAGCCCACGTGAGCAGGGTGATCCATCAGTCTGCAGGCATCAGGGTTTCCTTGTGAACTCTCGGGCCTCATCCTGAACCAGGTGCTGTCGGGGAGTGGGAGGAGGTGGCAGGCACAGCCGCCAGTCCATCACCTGAGCACCCACCATGCTGTGCTCCAGCTCCTGGGACACAGCCGCATGCAGAGCAGACTTCGCCCCTGCCCTCCCTGGGTTTGAGGATGTTCAGTGTCACCCTGATGCCAGACTTGAGTACATGGCAAGCAGCCCCTTACTACTTGAGGGAAAGTCAGGGCCCAGGCAGGCCCGGTTGCCTCCTCAGGTTTCTGAGCCTGGTCTCACCTCACCCAACAACCGTTGGGGGCAGTGGGGCAGGAATTCCCGTTCCTGACTTTGTGGGAGGCGCAGAGAGGGACATGTCCTGCACTGGGCTGCTCACTCTTGTGCCAGAGGCAGAACCAAGTGAGACCTGGTGGCTTTGTGGGGCTGCGGCCCACCCCCGAGCCCCTGAGTGTGCAAGCTTGATGTGCAGCACCAGTTCGTGGTGGGCCTTAGCATGGTCACGGCCACGCTGTGGCCTCCCCTCCACCCACAGCCAGTGCAGCACTAGGGTGCGATTCCTGTCTCTGGTCTGGGGAGGTGGGGAGCTTCACCCCAGCTTTTGGGGCTGTCGGTGTCAAGTCAGGGCTGGCCCCCTCTGTTACGCCCTTTACTTGCTGGGAGCATCCTGGCCCTCCTGCAGAGCCGCAGTGCTTGGTTCTCATGGACACAGGCTCCCACTGGGTCTGTGGGTCCCTGGCCCATCTAACTTAGGGAGGGAGAGCCACCTGGCCAGTGGGCAGTGATAGCGTTGTCTGGGAGGCTGCTCAGCATGTGCTGACCTGGAGCAGGGCTTTCTTTGGACGAGTTCCTGGAGTGAGGGTGAGTGAGCTGGTCACTGGAGGCCCCTCTACCAGGCCTGTGCTGCCCTTCAGTGGACCCCAGTTCTGCCCAGGGCTCCCACCCTCAGGATGGATGGTTGGGGGGCAGGGTTCAGAAGGCTTGCTCAGGCGTACATGCTGTGGGGGCTGCTGAGCATGCTCCTACGGCCAGAGTTGGGGAGTGCTGGGCCAGCCAGGGACCTTTCTGAGGGCACAGACGGTGTGGGGTGTGAGTTGGGGATGGACTTGCAGAAGGACTTTCTGTGGAGGGAATAGTGGTGAGGGCAGGGGGAGCCCAGGGTAAAAGGCTGGGGCTTGGTGAGGATCGCCTTGGCCTAGGAGATGAGAACAGCTTCCAGTGGGAGGGGTGTGCTGGGGAAGTGTCTGGTGTGGGGCCAAGGTGAGTGTGTGCAGGAGTTGCTGGAGAGGCTGGTGCTGGGTCTAGCAAAGACCCCCCCCCATCTTTAGACACAGCAGCCACTTGCCTCTCCCCATTCTGCCAGGCCCGAAAGATGAGTGGGGAGGAGGGGTTCTGGCAGGGAATGGCTGGGGCTGGCCTTGCCTGTTGCCCTGGGCTGGCCTGAGGTGGAGTTTGCTGTCCTGAGGCCTTGTTGTGCCCACAGTTATCCCCAGCTGCCCCAGCATGTGTGAGCATCCTGGGTGCCACTGTTAGAGTGCAGGCTTTGATTGAGCAGGTCCCGGGCAGCAAGGTGCTGCATTCCTAGGAACTCGGGTGAAGCTGGCCCACTCTGAGATCTGTGCAGGGTGGTGGTGGCCCACTCCCACCATAGATGTGCCCTACCTGCCTCTCCCTGCCCTGGTTTCGGATCTGTCCGTCCTGGTGGACCCTGAGGGTGTATGAACCTTTAATCCAGGGATTGTTCTCTGCTGCCCAGCACAGCATCTGCCCCTTAGGTAGGTTTTCAGCAAACATGAGTGCATGTGGGTGAAGTGCCCCTTCCCCAGACATCAGGCAGGCCCCTTCAGAGAATGACAAAGGTCAGAGCCACCAAGGATTCTGCGTTCCCCCGATGAGACTGCTCCCCAGGCATAGGCCTGGGTCATCAAATATTAGCCTGGCATGACCGCCATCTGGCAGCTAGCTGGGACAGCGACAGTAGCTGGGTGTGGACTGGGATCATGCCATGTATTCTTTGTAATCACTGCCTTCCCTTGAGGAAACCTGATGGAAGTTCCTAGCAGGTAACTTTGGTGTTTGTCTAGCCAGGGCCAGCACACCAAGGAGGAGGCAGCAAGACGGTTTTCTCTGCTGATGGCCTGGCCTGCCTCTGAGGGGGTTTGTAGGTCATGCGAATCTCTTCTGATCATAGTATTTTACTCACGGGTTCCCAAAATGGGCATGATGGGCTTAGTGGATTTGCCCTGAAATCACATAGCTTCCAGATAAACTTGGTGTCCAGGCAGCTTTGGTGTGCCTAGGCAGTGCACTTGGCCATGGTGCAGCCCCCTGGCACCTTGGGCCAGATTTCCCTTGCTTTTGTTCTCCTGGCCAAAGTGGTGTTGCAACTTCAATTTTTTTAAAAGGGTGCTAGTGAAAATTCTGAGCCTATGTCAAAGGAGTGTTCTTTTTCCTGAATTCCTCCTGAGAGGCTTGAAGTACTTTGCTTTATCTAATCACTGAGCTTAGGAAAGTTTTTCACATTGGAAACCAGAGGGGCTGGTGGCCCCTCTGTGTTTGAACAGGTGATCCTGGTCCCTGGAAACACTCTGAAGGTCCCCATGGGCGGGTGCCACACAGGAATTTCCTGCAGTGGGCAGCCCGGGGTGAGCCGGGTGCCTCCATTTCCTGACAGCACCTGAACCCTACCTCACTTCTCAAAATGAAGGCTGCGTGTCACAAACCGGTTAGAACTGGCTGTTGCCATGGTTTTCACGTTGGAAGGCACAGTTAAAGGGTCACATGACCAAGGAGTGAAATGCCTTTGTCACATGACTTTTTGGTGGCCTGATTAGCATACAGGAAGTTCACTCCCTGCTGGCTGCTGGGATGCTGAAGTGATCTTTGATGGGAGGTGACGTCACCTCTTGGGTGAGTTATTGATTAGTGTCAGGCCAGGATGTGACCCAGGAGTGCCGTGGTCACAGTGGCCATCTCAGGGAGCTTCCTTCTCCAGATGGTCTCCGGCCCCACCCCTGCCCTCTTCTCTCAAGCACAGTTGAGTCTCATTAGATACCTCACCTTCGGAAGTGCACCCCTTCAAATGAGATGATCAAGTGGTAAATCCCCCAGGGTCACGGGATCTGACACCCTTGCTCAGGAAGCTCCTGCAGTCTGTGACCCTAGATGTGGTTCTTCCTGGGCTAACGCCCCACCAGTATGCAGCCACCTGGGAGCCCACCTGGGCTAGACCAGAGGCTGCAGCTCCTGTGCTAGGACCGTGCATCTGCCCGTTGTCTATGTGTGCACCCGGAGAACCTGAACTTGGAGCCCCCAGGTCACCTGGAAATGTCCACGAGTCTTGGGCAGAATGAGGAGTCAACAGGGAGCGACACATACAAATGGCAAAGGCAAAGAGCAGCAGTGCCTGAAGTGCATGATGGTCTCGGGTTTGGTGAGGCCGGAGTGAGACAACCTGGGTTACTTTATAAACAGCCAGCCAGTTTCTGGACCTAATGCAGGCTGGTAACTGCAGTGACGGGACAGTTTCTGCCTTTGTGTCCTCGCCCTTGGTCTAAGCCCCCAGCTGGCAGCTGTGCTGGTTAAATTGAATCAGGGCTGGGAGTACTGAGGTGTAGCTGTCTTGCAGCTCCGGGAGGTGGGATTAGGAGATGCATGGGAAAGCCAGGGGCTGGCGGGACCAGGAGGGTTCGGGGAACCTTCTGCACTTGATCCTCTGGTCTTCTGTGCCCATCCTGTGCTGATGGTGCAGCTCCCTCTAGAAATGAAAAGGCAGCCCTGTGGGCTGGCCAAGCAACAGTTGTGCGTCTCTAACCCTGTGCACACAGCCAGGGTCTAGTCAAAGGAGCACGGCTTTCAGCTGTCACTCCCAGTCAGCTCTGTGAGTCTGTTCCCTGGGTCATGGTGCCACCTAGTGGATGCGTTTGGTTTTCCCACTGATAGAAGGATCCGATTCCTTCAGCACCAGTGCTGAGGCAGAGCTCAAGGGAAAGTTTGCATTGTGCCCTCCTCTAGCAGAGCCACAAGGTTGAGGGTCGAGGCTCCAGCTCTGGGACTCACTGGTCCTTGTGAGGGGTCCGCGACACAGGAGCACGTACCTAGTAGCACCAGACACCCACATACACCTTGGAGGACTTGGGCGGGCAGGGTTAGGGGAAGAGGGTGACTGGGTAAAAGGCTTGGCACCAGCCTGAGCGCTCACACACTGCTTCCTCCCCTGCTGTGCCTGGAAGCCAGTTTTTGAGCTGAATGGGTCAGTGGAGAGCACTCAGATCTGCAAGAGAAAACGTGTCCCATGCTCTAGTGGATTTCAAAATGTATGGCAGGATGAGTTGGCCGTGTGTGACCCACAGCAGGCAGCCTTGTGAGATTGTGTCACAGTGTGCAGCCCTGCCCTTCCATTCTGTGGGGCCTGGTGGACTACCCAGCTTTGAGGGCTGTCAGTGTGAGCCGACCAAAGACTGATTCATGTTGGGTCCAGGCTCCCTCCCAGCTGGCTTCCTGCGTGGGCAGGTGGCAGCCCCTGGCCTGTGAGGTGCACTCATCCCATCACACCGTCACTCAGGAGCCCCAACACTGAGCCGCATGGTGGAGCTCTGGTCTCTTCCAGGGTGGTAGAGCCTGTCCCGTGGGGACATGAAGGTGGGCACCAAGAACGGCCCAGCTGCAGGCTGTTGTATGCCGCCCGCCAGGTGGCAGGGTGGCCGTCCCTGTTGTCTGTGTCTGAATCCGGGCTCTGTGGGAAAGGGGCTCTGGGGAATGGTGTCTGGAGTGGTCTCGTAACAACTCACCATCCCTGCTCCACAGCGACATGAAGTCCGAGAGGAGACCCCCCTCACCCGATGTGATTGTGCTCTCCGACAGTGAGCAGCCAGCGAGCCCAAGGGTGAACGGCCTGGTGAAGGAGGCCTTGGTGGACACCAGCACTGAGGCCCTCGTGGTGAGCCTTGAGTCATGCTAGGGGTGGCCCTGCCCCACGGTGCCCCTGAGTGGAGCTGGGGCTCTCCGCTCACTCCCTGTTCTTGTGTCTTGCAGAAAAGCAGTCCTGAGGAACGAGAAAGGATGATTAAGCAACTGAAAGAAGAGTTAAGATTAGAAGAAGCAAAGCTGGTTTTATTGAAAAAGTTGCGGCAGAGTCAAATACAGAAGGAAACCACCACACAGAAAGTGCGTGTGCATCTCATTCCCTCTTCGGTGGAGGGTGGGGGTGGGGCATCAGAACAGGGGTGGGAAGCCAGGCCACTCACTCCCTTGACCCTCCTCAGTCAGTGCCAGGAGCTGGGAAGGCTGGTTTCCTCAGCAGCTTGAGGGTAAGGGTCTGAAATGGACGTTTGCAGACTCACCTTCTTGCTTTGGGTTGAGCTGAAAAGGATGTCAGTAAAGAGGGCATCAGAGTAGAGTTTGGCCTAGAGTATTCCTGATCTGAGTATGTAAAGCTCACTTTTGCAGACTGAAAATATCAAGGGAACAGAGCAGGTGTCTTTGACCTGCTGGAGGCACATTTTGAGGTTAAGAGCTTGGTCTTAGTTTCCAGAAAGGCCTCCTTGTCCTCGCTGGCTGGCAGGAGCTGCCAGGGTCTGTGGAGAGAATATGTGATTCCTCCCGTGTGTCAGCGGTGCAGCCCACACCCCGGTGGCTCTGTCTTGGGGCTCCTGCTCACTCCCCTGTCCCCCCTGTGTTCCTGAACACAGCTTACTGTGTAGGTCAGGGCTGGGTTTGTTCTGGTGGGCTTTTTTCGGTGACTTGTTCTGGGAAGGTTCCTGATTGCAGATGAAGCTACCTTTCTACTCTAACCACTATCCCAGTAAACCAGAAAGTGAACACAGTGTGAGCAGGTCCGGCTGACAGGTGGAACATGTGTCCCCTTAAGGACACAGACCGGAGGTCCTCACTGGTGGGACCTGGAGGTTTGCTTGAGCTCCTAGCCCCACCCAGCCAGCAGGTGGACACAGCTGGTCTGCTGGTCTCCCAGCAGACAGAGCCTGCCTGTTACTTGTTCCCTTGTCAACAAGGCTTGGAGAAGTGAACCAAGTTGTCACTGTTCCTTCTCTAGAGGAACGTGTGACTTCAGGAAGTGCCTGGACTCGGTGTTGCCTCGTCAAGGTTGGGATTAAACTTGTTCAGACCCAGGGCCCTTGCCTTCACATCCCCTGGAGGGCATAGCTGGCATCTGAACCACAAAGTGATACCAAGAGTCCCAGGGGATGGTAGTGCTTGCAAATCTCTCTGCTGCTCATTTTGAGCTTGCCAGTTCTGTGGCAGACAGACTTCAGTAGGCTAGAGGCAGAACCTTTGAGGGCCTGAAGCCTTTGGTGGAAGAAGAATCAGGATCACCTAGCGGGGCTGGGCTGGCAGCGCTCCAACCTCCCTCCTGTTCTCGCAGCCCGCATGCTCCGCGGGGAGCACTGGGACCACCCCTCCCCCACTTGTGCGGGGCGCCCAGAACATTCCTTCCGGCAAGCCTTCAGTTCAGGTCAGTGCTCCCCGACCTTGGGCCAGGCCCCTCCTCAGCAGCCCTGGGGCAGTTCCCTCTGATGCTCTGCAGGGAGACCTCCCAGCCTGCAGCCCAAAAAGTCACGTTCTTGTTCGCCTTCCCAGCTGTGTAGATCAGACTGGGCCACCATTGACATGAGCACAGCAATCCTGGGGTGGGGGGTCTCCACCGTGACCACCCCTAGGGAGACCAGAGGAAGGACCCAAGTCCTGGTTGGGCCTGGGTCCCTTCATACTAACACTCCCAAGGGGGTCCCAGGGGGGCCTTGTCCAGGGAGGCTCACAGCCTCTTCTGTCCTGTTGGTGAGATGAGCCAGAATGGAGGCCAACCTCGCCTCCACCAAGCTCGCACCCCCTCAAAGCGGCAGGCAGGTGGCCCCATCCCAGGGCTACTGGACTCTGCCCTGAGGGCTCTATTGTGTGAGAATGTGCCACCTCTTTGGTGCTGTTCGCTCCTGAGCCAGCCGAGGTTTGCATGGCTCTTCTCAGTCCATGTTCTTTCATGTTCAAGACAAATAAGTATTTTAGCTCCCCCTTTAAACAAGTGTGCACTTTTATAAGAACAGCAAATGTGTTAAAAAAAAGAGAGAAAAGCCATGTAAAACCTGCCTGGGGGGCGGTCTGTGCCATTGGCAGACCTCGACAACACGAATGCCCAGCGGTGTTATCCCACCACCCCTGGTCCGCGGCGGGCAGCAGGCACCCTCGAAGCTGGGGCCACAAGCGAGCTCACAGGTCGTCATGCCTCCGCTCGTCAGGGGGGCCCAGGTGAGTGGGCTGCCCTCGCACTGGGGCCCGGGCACAGCCCTTCCCCCGCACTCATCTTCTACCCCCACCCCTCCCCATAGCAAATTCACAACATCAGGCAACATTCCAGCACTGGGCCACCGCCGCTTCTCCTGGCCCCGCGGGCATCCGTGCCCAGCGTGCAAATCCAGGGACAGAGGATCATCCAACAGGGCCTCATCCGCGTCGCCAACGTCCCCAGCACTGGTCTGCTCGTCAACATCCCACAGGTGAGGGCCGTGTGGAGCTGGTGGGGCATGTACCCTGCAGCTGGTGGCCCCCACCCACCCCCAAGTCCCAGGTGGAGTCAGGTCTCTAGGCTGGCATGGCATGACCCAGCTAGCTGCCCCCTCAAGGCTTGGCAAGGCTTCGGACGCCTACGGGGGATTGGACGTGTGGGCTCCTTGGGTCCTTTGGGTGTGAGGGTCAAGGGCCCGGGTCTGCGCTCAGATCTGCTGCCTAGCAGAGTGGGGGGCTGCAGAGAGGGTGTGGGTTGGGGAGGCTTCATGCAGCATGGGGAATGTCACAGGCTTTTGGGGGTTACGTGAGGTCAGGTGAGGGGCTCCCCAGCCCTTCTGCCCTCCCTCCGCAGGTGCGAGCACGTGCGAAAGCAGGCCTGCTGATGTCCTTGTGGTGCCAGTGTGTCTATTCTTAGCCGCGTGTCCCTGCACCTCTGCAGAGTCTCAGAGGCAGGGAGGGTCTGTCCTCACCCACAGAGCCAGGAAGGTGGGGCCAGGGGTGGGCAGGCTGGAAGTGAGAGCCTCCTGACAGATGGTTACTGGGTCTGCATGGCTTTTGCTGGCCTGCTTTAGCCTCCTTCCCCTTGGCGTGGAGTGTCCTCACCTACCTCCCTCTCAAATAAGTCCAACCAGCAGGGATCTGGGAGCACCCTGCCCCTTTAAAGTTGGGCCAGGGCCAAGTGCGGTGGCATCCTCAATATCAAGGGTCTCGCTTGGCTCTGGAGAACTTTTGAGGGGGTGAGGGGCCCACACAAATGTCCTGGGCTCCCAGAGCCCCGGATGTGTTGTTTGCAAGATGGCAGGTGTGCACACGGTCCTAGGAATGGTATACTCAGCTTTCCTCAGATTTCTAAAGATCTCCAATCCCCTGAAGTGAAGGACCCTGTGGTCAGCTCCAGGTTCATTCTCGAGGAATATTCGACAGTATTGGGGATGGTGCACTGGCGCAGGGAGACAGCAGAGCACGGACCGTGGGGTCCAGGTGGAGTCCTAAGCACAGGAGCAGCAAGGATCCAGAGAGGAGGGCTGAAAAGAAGGGTGAAGGGAGCAGGGTTTGGTCCAGGAGCCGCTCCTCCTGTAACCCCAAAGAGGACACATGAATGGGATAAAACGTTAGCGTCTCCAGGCAAGCGCAGGTGGGGATGCTCATGAGGGACATGACACTGCGACTGGAAGAGGCGGCTGCCCAGGTCTGCGCTGGGAGGAGGCCGAGCCGCCCCGGGCAGGGAGCAGTTGCCAGGGGGTGCGTCCACTGTCCTGGCCATCATGCTTCATGGACGTCCTTGTGTGGCAAGACACACGCTACAGATTATAAGAGTATGCAGCTACTGAATGTCAGCTATGCCTCAAAAAGCATGTGTGCAAGATGGATGTGTCTCAGGGTCGTGAGTTTAACGCCACCTGCCTGTTGCTCACTGAAGTCAGGGAGCTCGGAGTTACTAAGAACTCGTCGGCCAGGGCAGCAAGAGGCACCATCGTGGGCCATGGGGGTGGTGGTGCCCTGCCTTGGCGTGGCCCTGCAGCAGGCTGACCAGGTTGTTGTCTCCCCAAAGCCCTCCCCAGCGTCAATGAAAGGGATGACCACCACCTCTGCTCAGGCCAGCTCCACCCCCACCAGTGTGGCCTCTGTGGTCACCTCTGCTGACTCTCCAGCCAGTCGGCAGGCGGCCGCCAAGCTTGCGCTGCGCAAACAACTGGAGAAGACACTGCTTGAGATCCCCCCTCCCAAACCCCCTGCCCCGGAGATGAACTTCCTGCCCAGCGCAGCCAACAATGAATTCATCTACCTGGTTGGCCTGGAGGAGGTGGTACAGAACCTGCTGGAGACACAAGGTAAGTGGACCTGGGACCCGGGGCCACTTCCATCTCTTGTCTCTGACCCTACACGGATGGTCTTCATGCATGGCAGGTGTTGGCACGCCTGCTGTCTGCCCAGAGGCGTCTGTTTCACCATCACTTCTGCTTGCTGTGAGAGAACTTAACACGCTAGGGCACCTTCCTTATCTGGGCCTCCTCTGAGAGCTGGGCCCAAGGTCCAGGGTGGGCGAGCAGCAGTGTCCTTCTGACCTGGCTGTGCCATGGGGTGGGCAGAGGGTAAGGAGGGATGTCACTGCCTGAGGCTGACAGGCTTTGCTTCTAGGCAGGGCTCTCAGGCATGAACTTTCTAGAGCCTTGAGTGCTCCGAGGTCCCAAGGCTGGAGAGGGACCCCACTTCTGGGCTGGACCTACTTTATCACACTCCTGGGAAGCACCACTGTGTGTTAGGAGGTCTTAGGAATAAAAGGGCATGTACAGGTCAGCAATCAAAGGTAATGCTGGAAATGGAGGTGGAAGGCTGGGTTGGCCCTTAGGGGGCCTTAGCCCCCAGATGCCGATCCGGTGATGTGTCTGTGCTGAGATGGAGCTGGAGCCAGTCTGGACTTTCCCTGAAGATTTCAGCTGAACAGGAGGTGGGCCTGTGGTCCCAGGCAGGGGAGGGTCTTGCAGGCCTCAGACCCACTCCTGCCTTTGTCACTGGGTGCGTGCCAACCCCTCCCCTGGCTGCTTCTCCTAGCACAGTCGGAGACGGTGATGGGAACATACAGAGAAGCCTCTTCTCCCCACCCACTTCTCTTGTGCAGAGGGATGGTGGGTGCGGGTGGTAGGGAGCTGTGTCACAGTGGAAGGACTGCTGTCTTCTCCCTCTGTCAGAGGTGCCCCTCTGTCCCAGGGCCTCCGAGAGGCAGTGCCCTCCTTACCAGGTGGGGGTCATGCCCAGTGACAGCCCCAGCGCAGAGGGCGTGCAGCTGGCCACCTCAAATTTGCCTGTAGCCCCGTTACACCCCTGCCCCCATCTCATTGCTCTTAACAAACTCCCTGACCACAAGGTAACATGGAGAGGGCAAGGCCAGTGTAGTTCTCTGTAAAGTGGGGGATGGTGGCCTTTGCCTGTTAGGGGTCCCAGAGCCAGGTCCAGCAGGGAGGGTGCAGGCTGGGACACAGCGGGGGTGTGCCTGGATCCCTGAGGTGTTTCCTTTATGAGGTGATGTTGGCTAAAGAGCTGCTACGAGGCCAGTAGAGGGTGGGTGGCTCAAGTTCGCCCTTGATGCCTGCCCTGGCCCTGTTCTCCAGGACCAGCCTGTCTGCTCACTCTCTCACTGGGGCCAGCCTACCTCTCCTGTTGCCAGAAACAGGATCTAACTGCAGGGGAGGCTCTAACCCCTGCTAGAGGCATCTCCTGAGCCCTCCCAGAACCCCAGGTGGGCATCTGAGCCCAGCCTGGACCCTCTGGCACTGGTCATGTGACCCCAGATGTCTGGGAAGCTGGTAGAGTCTTCTGTGGAAGATGTGCCCTCGTCGGCAGAGCCTTTTGGCTGCAGACTGGGGCCTGGAGCTGGGTCTGAAGTCAGGGCTGTTTGGGCAGGTGACATCTTCTCTGCTCTGTGGGGGCTCAGATCCTGGGCTATGCCTCCCTCAGCGCTCGGGGGCAGCTTGGGCAGGCCGGGGACCAGAGCCTGTCAGGGAGCGAGGGTTTCTTGCCAGCATTATCTGTGATGCCAAGAGGCAGTTAAACCCCTGCCTTGTTATGCTGGACACAAGGTAGCAAGCTACAAAATGCAAAATTGTTCCCCTTACTGCATGCTGGTGGGCAAAAAGCATTGGCCTGGAGTCTAAGTGGGCGTTTTACCTGGCTTCCCAAGTCACCCCTCCTTGGCCGCCCAAGCGGACACTGCATTCCCACCTCCCAGACGAGGGTCCAGGGCTTGGTCCTGGTGCCCAAGTCCTGGTCCTGCCATAGCCTTGGTTTCCTCCTTGGGACAATGGGGTGGAAGAGCCCTCCGGAGGCGGTGGTGAGAATTGGTACCCGCAGGGCCCCGGGGACGGTGCCTGTCGGCAGGAGCACCTGCTGGATGGTTAGTCCTTAGTTGATGCCCCTGCTGTCTCAGGAGCCTGTCACAGCAACCTGGGGTCCTGAGGGATCACTGGCTCCTCTCCACTGATGAATTGTGGAGGTTGGAAGCATCCGCCAGTGAGATCTAACATTGTGTCCTGGGTGGGAAAGGCAACCCAGAGAAGCCAGTTGGGCAGCACTAACATCTTTGAGCTGGTCCCCAGGAGCCCTAGTTCATAGCATTTTCCAAAGAGCCTCCAGTTTGCTTCTACCAGCAAGCCAGCCATGAGGCTGGCATAGTATCTACGCATAGCACCCAATACTGGCCTGCAAACCTGTGGCGTCCACTGGGTTTTGGTTCCCTGATGCCCTGGGCTGCTTGGGGCTCCAACTCGGGCATCCAGTTCCTCTAATGCGAACACCCCCTTGCAGCAGGCAGAATGTCAGCCGCTGTCGTGCTGTCCCGGGAGCCCTACATGTGTGCGCAGTGCAAGACTGACTTCACGTGCCGCTGGCGGGAGGAGAAGGGCGGCACCATCATGTGTGAGAACTGCATGGCATCCAACCAGAAGAAGGCACTCAAGGTGGAGCACACCAGCCGGCTGAAGGCTGCCTTCGTTAAGGCGCTGCAGCAGGAGCAGGAGATCGAGCAGCGCCTCCTCCAGCAGGGCGCTGCACCCACACAGGCCAAGGCCGAGCCTGCCACCCTGCACCCTGTGCAGAAGCAGGTGAGTGCTGGTGGCTTGTGGAGAGGGGCCCGCCGACTCCCTTGGAGGGGGGCTGTTGCTTGAAGGCAAGATGTTCCGACTCCACCCCTGGTGATTATCTGCCTGGTCGTTAACTCCACGTCTAAATTGCATTTAATGATAGTGTTTGGCAGTGAAAATACTAATTTGCAGTTTCTTTAGATTTTGTAGCTTTCACTTCCAGTGTGCTGGCTGACAAGTACTTGTCTAAAAGGACTTTTTGAAAGTTGCATTTGAGATACAAAAGGGGCATTTAGAAAAAAATGTTCTAGCTAAATTGAGAGGAGAAGCAAATTTGAGATCAAGATGTTTTTGGTGTTTTGTTTTTTTTTTTTTTTTCAATGCTTTGCCTTTCCACCCCATCCACCCAAAGCTCCCAATCGGCACATTTTGTGTCCTTGGAAGTCATTTGTAATTCACTTGTAAACATCTTCTCCAGACCCCTGCATGGTGGGTGGCCGCACTGCCCTTGGGAGGCAGCCTGTCCTGTGGGGACTGGGCCTTGTGCGCCACAGCTGCTGCCCTTTGGTCACTCTAGGTCACCCTGGGCCTGCCTGTGGATGGCTGACCTTGATTTCAACCCCCATTTGTGTAGGTCATAAAACCCAGGCGTAAGTTGGCGTTCCGCTCAGGAGAGGCCCGCGACTGGAGTAACGGGGCGGTGCTACAGGTCAGAACTACAGCGCTGGGCGCCCCCATGCCACACCAGCCCGCACGCCCCATGAGCACATCCATCGCTGGCTGTCATGCTACTTGAGTCTGTCTGTCTCTCTCTCCCTCCCTCCCTCTCCCTCCTTCCCCTTCCCCCTTGGTGTAACTTACCTGGTCTCCTGATTTGGGACTTTAGGAACCCCATGTGGGTGGGAAGAGGTCAACTAGAGCAAGGAGAGGCAGCGCTGGGCGACTCGCCCTCTGCCCTCACACCTTCCCCATGTGAGCTGTCTATCCTCTCTCCCCTGTAGGCCTCCAGCCAGCTGTCCCGGGGCTCGGCCACAACACCCCGAGGTGTCCTACACACGTTCAGCCAGTCGCCCAAACTGCAGAACTCAGCCTCAGCCACAGCCATTGTCAGCAGGACCGGCAGACATTCCGAGAGAGCTGTGGGCATCGGCAAGGGCAGCACCACCTCCAGCTGGAAGAAGGCACCTCTCAGTACAGGTGAGCAGCCCCCAGGGCCTCATCTCGGTCGGATCCACCTTCCCTGTTTTCACCAAAGATGCGCACACACGGGGTGAACGGACGAGGCACGAAGGGCCCTGAACCCCCAGACCCAGAGAGCGACTGCCTCCGACTGTTCAGTTTCATCTCTGTCACTGAGCAGGACACCATGCACAGGCGGTAGCCCTGGGTAGATTCTCACTGCTCTTGCTATTTGCCCGCCTTTGACCCAAAGCAGGCAGGCCTAGGCCAGGCGGTGACCCCGTCCAGTGGGCTCTCCCCACCACAGAGGCTCATCCCGCGAGCTCAAGCCCCCTTCCCCTTTCCTGCCTCGGAGGCCGGTTTCTGTGGCTATGCTGGACCACCTCTGTGAGCCAACTTTGTTTTTTGCTCACTCAGGACAATGTCCTCACTCCTTGGGCCCTGGGACACTCATCAGGCGTTGTGGAGGAGGGAGAAGGGAGGGTCTGGGGGCGGGTGGCAGAGGCCTCTGAGGAGGTGGACTCGTGGGCACTTTCCATTCTGCAGGCCCACTGTCCCCGGGTCAGCCCACACCTCTTTCTCCATGTTTATTATTTGTGTGCTGGCATTAAGAAGGAAGTTCCGTACTTCCTGTGTCTGTCAGAAACAGGAAGGGGAAAGGCAGGCACACAGGGCTGGGAGGAGGAGAGGGGCGAGTGCCCCTGATTAGTCCCATCCCCCCATGCACGTCTGCTGTGTCCGTCCCTGTGGGAAAAAGGGGCACTGCCCCAAGACCCACGTCCCCGGTCGGAACTGGGGAAGCCAGACTGCATGCGCGCGGCTGCCCCCGCCACCAGAGCCTCTATGGGGAGGAGCGCGGGAGAGGCACGGTGCCTGCCTGCAGACGTGTCCGGGCAACAGAGAGAGCGTCTGTGAACACAGGCCAGGCAGAGACACTTCTGATGCTTCCTTCAGTGGGATCGAGATACAGCTAAGGTCTCGCAGGCTGGTCAGAAATGGCTTTTGTAGGGAATTTTGAAAGCAGATGAAATCAGTGGGAAAAGGCAAGTACAGGTGTATGTGTGCAGTGGAAACAACCCTGTGAAAACTGTATTTACAGTGACGTCCAAAGGGGAATTTGAAGGAGTAGGGCGTTGCTGTGTTAACAGTAGAATTAGTGGTAAAAGTACCCAGCTTACAAGCAGCATTTCCCACAAGGGTCACTGCTGGTGCCCCGAATTCCCAGTACCTGGTGGGACCTAGACAGCAGGGGTCTGAGTGCCTTCCCCGGGTATGCAGGAGGGTTCGCTGGTGCCTTCAGTTGCAGAACATTTGTTCCACAAACATACTGAACACTGCCAACAGTATTCATGGGGGGCCCTCAGCACTCCTTAAATACACGCGCACACACACTTGGTGGAGATGGGGGTGTGTCATGTCTTCCTTCAATTACAAAAATTGCACTTGCTTGTGGAAATTCGGAGAACACAAAGAGGCTATAGCAGCAGTGAGAATGTTATCACGGTGTATCACCGGCATGTAGACAAGTGGCTCTTGGGGGGGGGCTCTTGCTGTGTCTGCCCTCCCACGATCCTGTTGTGTGTTCATGAGGGATTGTGTCTGACTGCTGCATGGTTTTCCACACCAGACAAATCTGCAGCCAGACTCAGCTGATCATGTATGCTTGGGTCACTGGCAGAAGCAGTGCCCCCTGTGTGGGGTCACTGCCTCTGGGGCTGAGGATGTAAAAAAGGCAACTGGTGATTTCTTGACTTCCCTCCATCTTCGAGGTTGGGATTTTTGCCTGTACTCTGTGGGTCCTGCTGAGGCTGGGTTCTCCTGGGAGTGCCCCCCAACTCACTGGGGGCCCCTGGGGCCTGTCACTCTGTTCTGTTGCAGGTGGGGCTCTTGCCTTTGTCAGCCCAAGTTTGGCAGTGCACAAGACCTCCTCAGCTGTGGACCGCCAGCGGGAGTACCTCCTGGACATGATCCCACCACGTTCCATCCCCCAGTCGGCCACGTGGAAATAGTGTGAGCCAGGCCCAGTGGAGAACAGGCTCCCTCCTCCCTCCCACCTGGCCTGCCACCCTCCCTTCGGGAAGACCGGGAAGACCATGTGCTCCCCAAGCGAGCCAGCGCATGACTGCCCATTGCGCTGCAGGAGCCAGAGCCCTGTTCTTGGCTGCAGAGTTTAGTGGCCGCCGATGGGCCGCTTCACAGGTGGACAAGGATCATCCCTGGGGACCTTTCCCGTGGGCTTTCTTCCTTCCTTTGCCTTTAGTTTGCCCAACACCAGCAGAAAAGTGGACCTTGGGGGCCGGCTATGTCCCAGCCCTCCCCTTGGGCCCCAGCAGGGTGCGTGGACAGCTCCCCCTGGACACTGTGACATGCTCAGGTGACCTGGCCGGGGCATCTGAAGGCCAGCAGAGTGTTCTGTCTGCGTCCGCTCCTCCTGAGTCTCTCGATCTCTGCCTGCCTTCCTTCACGGCAATCTCTAGGTTGACGGATTTTCTTTTTTTTTAATCACCTCACGGTGATGGAATTTAAACTGTGCAGACCTGGGGTTCCTGCTGAGCACGGCCCCGCTCCCCGGAGGGTGGGCCGCTGACTGCCCATCCCCAGCCCCCACAGAAGCCTCTGCTGCTGCTCATCCCAGAGACCCCCACCTCTCCACACGCAGTGGAAGAACTGCGACAGATCCAGCCAGAGAGCCCAGATCATGGAGTCAGCGGCCCCTCGCTCAGCCTGAGCAGAGAGTCGGAGGGGTGGGCTCTTGTGTTTTTTTGTTGTGGTTTGTTTTATTAAACTTTTCCTTCTCTTTTCCTACTTTGATGGACAATATCCTAAGCTACCCTGGCCTGTGCTCCCATCAGGCGAAGTGCCCTTGCCCGACCCCAAACTTGAGGGTTTCCTTCTGGGTCTAGTTGAGAACTTTCCCTTAGAGCAGGGCCGTGCTGCCAGGGTTCACCATCAGATTTGTTTTCTTATACCCTCTTTGGAGTCTGCAGAAATGTCTTAACAAAGGATCGATCGGTCTGCTCTTAGTTGTTTTGTTTTGGTTTCCCCTTAAAAATCAGGTCCATGACGACAGGCAGAGGCTGTCGTGTGTGCTGCGCATGGGGCCGGCTCCGTGCAGCTGTGAGGGTGTTCCGCGTATGCCCCCGAGTCAGTGGGACATGCCACCCCCCACTTCAGCCCCTTCCCTGGTTTTCCTATCCATGCAATTAGGGACTTAATTTAAAACCCTTATTTCGTAGGGCTACCTTCGAACACACTGCTGCAACATTCTAATAAAGACTCATTTAACCTCACGTTGTGTGAATATCAGTGTTTAGAAAACACTTTTAATAATACGCGTAAGAAGACCTAGTTTTGCAGGACATTCTTTGTGTGGAAAACCCTACATTTCTCGATTTTTGTTTAAGTGTGTAACTTCGATGGGCTGAGGAGGGGCGGGCAGGGAAGTGTAGATTTCATTCCAAGATACAGGGATTTGAGAGAAAGGAAGGGAAACTGATATTCCGGTACTGGGGGGAAAGGGTGTGTTTTTACACCAAAAAATGAAGAGTGTGCAAGCATTTCTACTCCTCGCATTTTTCTGTGTGCCTGGCAAATTAAATACCTGTCTTATTCCACCCTGAGCTGTCAGCCCTCTGTGTTCAATGACACAGGCCAGAACCCAGGCAACTTCCTGTCCCAGCAAACAGAGCTCACTTCTATGCAGTAGTAGCTCGGGATTGGCTACCCGGGCCAAAGTCACCAGCTGTGACAAGGGGGTTGATGCGTTCTGTGACTCGCGGGCCCCGTCTGGATCTCACTCCATATGGTGCCTGCTTCACCTGGTCGGACTTCCTGGGCCTTGTGAGTTCACTACAAACCCAGCACAGGTGGAGGAGGGGACAGCCGGCACTGGCTCTGCTCTCTCCTGCCGAGCAGCTCTGGGAACAGTCCCACCAAGGGTGATGTCCTGGGACAGAAATGTAGGGTTTTTTTTTAACGGGGCAAGACTGTGAGATGCCTTAATCTTTAGTCCATTTCTACTGTCTGAAAACTCCTGTCTGCCTCTCTTCCGTTGGCCCTTTGCAGTACAACTTCTAGAATCGGCCCCCAGTAGTGTTTCTGCAGTAACCTGTGTTACAGAAAAGGCATTAAATGCCTGGTGTGGGGTTTGGATGCACTAGGAAAGAACATTAGTGTGAGGGTGTTCTCCTGGCAGCAGAGCCCACCCCTCAGAATTGACCCCAGTGCTGAGGTCCTGACCTCCCCTGGGAGCTCAGGGCCAAAAGGTCTGGGTTCCCAGGAGCAGTGAGGACACGGGGAAGACCCCCGTCCTAGGTGACAATCGTAATGGCTCCAGGATATCTGTGACATGAACCCCCAGTGGCAGCTGTAAACTAACTTGTCAGCCATTCTGTGGACTGGGGTCAGGGCTTTGTGGCGCTCACTCCCCTGTTTTGATGATGGGGGCCCAGCCCTGGAATGGCCTTGTGTATATGCATGTGTGGACACGGATAAACCTGTGTTCCCTTGGAGGCATCCAACCTCGGTCCCCGGTGTCCCAACTGTGGTGTCAGGGCCACATCGTTGACAAGGCCAAGAGTGACCCTTCTCCTGCGAGTGGCCTTTTGTACCCAAACACCTTTGTGAAGCAAAAGCTCACCCCAGAGCAGAGGGAATGAAAGGCGACTGTACAGCCCTGCTGGGTGTCAGGGCTTCTGTCCCACATGTCACTCTGGACGGACACATGGGGAGTTTCTGTATGAAGCATCCTGATCACAGGTGTGAATAACAGAGAAGATGTTCCTTGGTGCTCCACTGAGGGGTTTTCCTTGGTTTCCAACTTATGCTGCACATGTTTGCCTAAAGAACTTGGACTGAGCTTTTTTTCAAAGGACAGCTAAAATTTTATAATCCTTAACAAATGTAATGGACAGTTACATAGTGCAGGGTGTTTGGGAGGAGGGGTGTTTTGGGGTGGATTGGGGAGGCTGTCACGTATTGTGACTCTCAATCTTTGATAATAAATGTAAAAAAAAAAAACTACCTCCACCAAACCAGAATAGACATCCCAATAAAGAGGCTGGAATTAATGGCCATACATTGTCATGAGGAAGTTTTAGAATCTGGAAGATAATAAAGAAATGGATGAGGTGTTGGCTGTGTTTTTCTTTCGTGTTCTCAGCCCTTCTTGCCCTGTATTTGCAGCTTTGGGGCAGTTCAGAGATGTGGGAAGATAGATAGCAGGGTGACTCTTGGTTAATGGGGAAGCAAAGGGTAAGAAACTTGCTTGGGTTTTTTTTTTAAGGTTGTGTTACATATTTTTTCATTGAAGTATTGTTGATAATACGATCTTATATTGGTTTCAAATATACAACACAGTGGCTCACCAGTTACCCATATTATTAAATCCTCACCCCCACCAGTGCAGTTATTATCTGTCAACAAAGGAAGATGTTATGGATTCGTTGGTTATAGTGTGGCGATAAACAGAGGTGCATATATCTTTTTGAATCAGGGATTTCTTTCTTCGATTAAATTCCTGTAAGTGGAATTAGTGGGTCAAATGGTATTTCTGTGTATCGGGGGTGGGGTGGCTTCTTGGCCTGCTCCCCACCAGAGAAGGAGTGGGGTGAGAATGGAGTGGGCTGCCTGTTGGGCTGGCTCCTAGCCTGTCCAGCCTCCACCCGAGTGCTGGGTTCTCCGGAGCTTTTCAGGCTTGGCACCCATGTAGGGTGCCTGCCGCAGGACATTGTGTTACAGACGCAGGTTCTAAGCACAGACAGAGCCACCTGGCTGACTCTGAAACCAATGATTCCTGGTGAAAATTTGTTTTTGATGTTAACACGCTGTTTCAGGTTTTATTCATGAAGACCTGTGACCACTTGGTTAAGTCTAATATGCATAAAATGTGGCCCTGTTTCCCTAACTGCTTTTATTTAGTTTGCTGTTTCCTGTTTTTGTGGATCTGTGCTTCTGGCCATGCTCCCCAAAGGCCATGGCCAGCAAGACACGGAGCTCACAGGTTTGGGTTTAATTTCTGCCATGCCTCCTGTCCCCATCTACCTGTGACATCCTCACTGGTGCCCCATGCCCCAGCACTGGCTGTGAGAAGTGTGCTTGTGGGGAGCTTTCTCGGGGGCTGCACACTCAGCCCTCAAGTGAGTCTTTGCTGGATCAGGCACAGGCCCCAAAGACCAGGGGTGAATCTCAAGTAGCAATTCCAGCTAACAATGGGACACTTGCTCTGGCCCCTGAGACCTTGCTCAGCTGCACTGTGGGTGTGTGACCGTGGGGTAGGAGGAGGTCGGGGCCCCACTACTCACAAAGAGGCATGTGCCAAGCCGCAGTGTTAGGTGCCTTGTGACCAGGACAAGGAGTGCAAGGGTGTCAGAGAGGAGATGCCTTTTTACGTCAAGTCCTGAATGACGAGATGGGCAGTGGTCCAGGGAATGGTAAGAGCCAGTGCAGAGGCTGAGGTGAGAGCCAGGCAGGGAGAGAGCAAGGGAGGCAATGTGGCTGGAACCCAGAAGAAAAGGGTGAGGATTCGGGTTTTATTCTGAGTGCCATGGGAACCTCGAGAAGGCTTGGGATGCGGCCCTCCAGCGAGCCACAGTGCATCGCAACACCCCCAAGGATGCTGGCCTCTTGCTCCCATTTTCTAGCTTTGGAGCCAAGACGTTACAGAAGAGGCACCTTTCTAGGACAAACCAGGAGCTACTGGCTTTTCTGTCTCAGTTCGGACATGAACAAGCCAGGATTGGAGGCGAAGCACTTCCCATCTTAGCCTCAATTTTCTCATCGGCGAAATAAGGGAAGCAGGGCACAGCCTATTTGAAGGGGCTGAGTAGAGCTGGCACCTGAGAGCCAAGGAAGATGAAGGGGCAGGGGCAGGGTATGGGTGGGCTCACAGCTGACCAGCCTCCAGAACCGTGTGGGGCTCAGATGGACGCAAGTAGGATGGAGGGTTAGGGAGACGTTTCCCACACAACCTAAACGATAGGCAGCCGCCGCTAAACCCAGTAACCTTGGCAGCAAAACGACCCCCAGCCCTCCTCAGGCTCGGAGAGGTCCCCTCTCCAGACCTCCGTCCTCGCCTCTCCACCCCTCTCCGTCCCAGCCACACCAGCTCAGTCCTGTCTCGGGAACACTGTAACACTTTCCTTCTAACAGCTGATTCCTTCAGGGTTCAGCCTACAGGTCCGCTTCAATCCCTCCTTCTCATGCCCCACCCAGCATTTAACAGCTAGTTTTATTTTCACACCATTTTTTACTTGACTTTTCGTTTGCGCCCTAGCTGGGGGCAGGGATAGAGCCAAGCCTCTCTGCTGACTTCCAGAGCTGGGTACACAACTGGCGTTCAATAAATGCATGGACAACAGCCTAGCATCTGCCCACAGACTCACCCTCACCGCCACGTCTTCCCCCCACGTCAGCCATAGCTGGATTCAAATCCCAGATGTGCTCTTGGGCAAGTGACATCTGTGGGGGCCTGTTTCCTTGTCTGTAAACTCTGTTTAGTTCAGACAGGCGCCCCCACCCAAACCCCGTCCCATCCTTAAACACGAGAGCGGTACTGGGGTCCTTGGTACCCAGTCCAGTATCTCCACTGTCCCCGGGGACGACGCCAAAGCCCTCTGCCCTGTCTACGGAGCCCAAAAAGACCCGGGTTTGAACCCTCTCAACTCCCTTTCGAGACCCTAAGAGCCTCAACAAGCCTTCCTGTAAAACGCCCCGATCGCGCCCGCCTTCCCACAGGGACGACCGCCGCCCCGCTCTGTAAAAGGGGGTCATCGCTAGAGCTAGGTGCCAGGAAGAGGGAGTTTAATGCTCAGGTTCCAGGGCGGGCACCTCCCAGAGCGCGCCGTCCCGTACCAGCGTGAGCTGGGGACTCGGGACGGACGCCTCCCGGGAAGGGCCACTCGGCAGCAGCCGCACATCTGCGGACGTTCCTACCGCTGCGCAGCCGTCTCTCACCCCGCGCAGACGCAATGTTCCGTCTCCAATGGCGGGGAGTCTGGGGAGCGCACGCGCCCTCCGGCTCTCGGGATCGTGTAGGAGGAGCTAAATTCCTACCTCGGGCTGCTGAGGCCCCAGGGTTCGAGGGGAAAGGGAAGGGGGAAGAACATCTGCGCGGTGGCAAGCGGGATGTACGTGGGTCTCCGCGAGCGCGCCTGTCCCGAGTGCGCGGCGCGTGCGCAATGCTCGGGCGTCAGGGATGGCGGGAACCCCGCCTCCTAACCGGAGTCCGTTCAAGCAGCCAGGCGTTGCGCGCTACTTGGCCCTCTGAAGGCCTGGCACACGGGTAGAACTGTAGCAGCTTGGCGATTAGGTCCTTGCAGCGCTCGGACAGCTCGAGGCCTTTTGGGTAGAGGACGCCACGCTTCTGGCGCCGGGGCAGGCTAGCGATGTAGGAGGCGTTGAAGGGCATGTTCCCGGTGACCATGACGTAGACACGACGCCCAGGCTCCACATGTCGCACCTCTTGGGATCTTAGGGGATGCCCAGAAGTACCTCGGGTACCGCGTAGGCGAGAGAGCCGCAGTAGGTGGTGCTCATCTCAGGGCAACCGTGTGTTTCGCGGCCGAAGCCAAAGTCCGTAAGCTTGACGTGGCGCTCGTCTGAGCTCAGCAGCACATTTTCGCACTTGATGTCGCGGTGCACCAGCTGGTGATCGTGCAAGTAGCTCACAGCGCCGGCCAACTGCGCGAAGAGGTCGCGCTCCTGCCCTCCAGGGATGCGCCCGTTGCGCTGCACGACTTGCAGCAGGTCCGTGGCGGATGCCTCCATCACGATGTACAGCTTCCCGTTGCACGCCTCAATGAATTCGAAGACGTGCACGATGTGTGGGTGCCCCACGCTCCTAAGGATGGATAGCTCACGAGGAAGGAACTTGTCGACAATGTTGCGAGGCGCACGCTGCCGTTTCACCACCTTGATAGCCACCGTGGCCTTGTATTTCTTGGACGTGGCCACCTTAACTTTGGAAAACCTGCCCTCACCTATCGTGCAGCCCAGCTTGTAGCCGAGTTTGCTCAGAATTCTGTCATCCGACATCGTGGCATCTGGGGGACACGGGGAGCAGGAGGCGACTGTTGTCGGAAGGCGGCTGGACTCCCGTCTCAGGCCCAACCAATGGTGCTTGCCATCTGCACCCCCATGCCCCCCGGGCGCCTACTCCCGGGTCTTCACCGCCCGGTGCTTTTTATTGCCCAGGTAACAATTTGTGTATTGTGAAGTAGCTGCGGACGTCATCCCGCCTCTGGGTGGCGCCTCTCCGGCCCCCACCCCGCGTGACCCCCCAAGGCCCTTGGGCTTCGTGACTGATAATCGCTCTGAATGGCCCAGTTCTCATGAGAGGCCACTAGCAAGGGGTCCCGGCCACCACCGAGGGGAGCGGAATCTGTGCCTGGCACTAGAAAGGCTCTTCGCGAGTCCGAATCCGAGCAGCAGTGGCCCCTCACACCCCTACTGTGTACCCTTCCCTGACCTGTGGAGCCGTGGGCTGTGTGCAGAGTCCCGCAAAGGGGAGAAAATGCGAAGGGGAGCTTAACTCGGAGACTTGGCTCCCTCGAGAGCATGGGGTTTCCGAGTGGCCCTGAACATCCTCCAGAGGGAAGGTGACCAGGAGGTCCTGTAGGGCCAGAACCCTGGCGGCCGGACCCGCTCCGACCGAGCCACGCCCCTTCTGAAAGAAGGGGAAATAATAGCTCCTCCGCTGCCCAGTCAGTCCCAGGCCTCGCTGCCCGACTCGCTAGTGGCCTGGAGTCGCTGCAGCAGCGTGCTAGGTTCACGAGACGGCACTGTAGTTTCTGCCACACTCAGCATGGCGGCAGTCCACCCCCGTGTCCATAACTTCCGCTCGCGGCCGGAAGCGTAGGGCTCTTCGAGCATGGCGGCGGCGAAGGTGAATCAGGACATGCCCCCGCCGGGGGGCTACGGCCCCATCGATTACAAGCGGAATCTTCCCCGTCGGGGACTGTCGGGTCAGTGTCGCCCGGCGCGGGTGTGTCAGGGTGTGGGCCGTCGGGCGGGGCGCCGGGGAGGCTAGCGGGCCTCAGTGTCTCCCGCGGTGTGACGGCGGGCGGAGGGGCGGACCCCGGGGGCCTCCGTGGTAACAGCGGTGACCACGGCGAGGTGCGGAGCGCGGGCGGAGGCCGGTGCCTCCCTCACCTAACAGCCGGAGAGGCCGGTCCCCCTTATTATCTATTTATTTACTCTTATTTGTTTTGATTAAGGTAGCATTGATATACACTCTACGAAGGTTTCAGAAGCAAGACAATGTGGTTATTACATTCACCCATATTATCGAGTACCCCACACACACCCCATTGCTGTCACTGTCCATCAACAGAGTCCCTACTTGTCTTCTCGGTCCCGCTCATTATAACCATTTGCAGAGGTTTAAATTTAGGTTAGTTTAGCCAAGAAATGGAAGCAGCCTGTGTCCATCAGTAGATGAATGGATAAAGAACATGTGGTACATATACACATTGGAGTATTATTCAGCCGTAAGAAGAAAACAAATCCAAAAAAAAGAAGAAAACAGATCCTACCATTTGCAACAACATGGATGGAGGTAGAGGGTATTATGGTCAGTAAAATAAGCCAAGCAGAGAAAGACACATACTAAAAAATTTCACTCATCTGTGGAGCGTAAGTACAAGGCAAAAACTGAAGGAACAAAACAGCATCAGACTCACAGACCCTAAGAATGGACTAATAGTTACCAAAGGGAAAGGGACTGGGGAGGGTGGGGGTCGCATGGGGAAGGCAGTACAACACAGAGAAGACAGGTAGTGATTCTATAGTATCTTACTATGCTGATAGACAGTGACTGTAATGGGGTATGTGGTGGGGACTTGATAATAGGGGGAGTCTAGTAACCATAATGTTGCTAATATAATTGTATGTTAATGATACAAAAAAAAAAACTGTGGCACAGATAGCTTCTGACTCTGTCCAGTCCGCTTTCCATTACATAGCACCTCCTGAGAAAGACAGGTGCCAGATAATTGTAATTGCTTAAGAAAAAACAAAAACAAATTTAGATTAGTTTAAGCCATGCCGTTCTCTCTCAGCCACACCTCGGTTTCACAGGTGGGGAAACTGAGGCCCAAGAGAGGCTGCGCCCTGCCCCCAAGGCCTCCCAGAGCAAAATTTGGTGCCCGCTTGCCAGATGTCCCGGCAATATGTGTTCTTAAATTTTTCAAATGTTTTGATGAGCATTTTCAGATTCGTCATTGAGTTTAAACACAGGAAAATGTAACAGAGAAAGTAAAAGGAACCCAAACTGCACCCAGGGTTAACAAGAGAAATATAAAATTTAAAACAAGTTAAGGGTGAATACATTTACCATAACTCAACATTTAAAATCTGTATGTTAGGCAAATTAAGCTTCGATTTAAGAAAAAATAATTTTTTGCCATGGTTTAAAGACAAAGTAGTAATTCAATCTATAGGAAGATTAAAACTCAGGCCTTTCTCAACCCCTTCCTGATTTTTTCTCCTTTTTTTCCATATATCCCAGAACAGAGATGGGCAAATTTTTTCTATAAAGGGCCAGTTAAATGCTTTATGCTTTGCTGCTTTGCTGTCCAGGTAGTCTCTGTACACTGCTGCTGCTTTTTTACTACTGTTTACAAATCTACCCCAAGGGCCTTACCCAGCAGGCCCGATCTGGCACCACAGGGGCACTCAGCTTACCCCAGATCATACTGCGCGAACATGTTATCTGACATAACCACATTTCTCCCCTGGAGTCGAGTGCACCCCTCAGGTATGCAGCTCGAGGACTGTGTAGTCCTGTGCAGTGCGTGACCCTCACCCAGCCCAGGCCGCAGAAGGATCTCAGCCCTCAGGTCTCCCTTGACAACTCGTGTTCAGCGTCTTTTTTTATTTTCAAGTCACAGACGTGCTCTTTGTCCTGGTTCTCTCCCCCTGCATGACAGCAGAACCCCCTGTGTGTCCAAAATACCAGTCTCTAGGGTCGGGTCTCTTGATCACACCCTTTTCCACCAACTTGCATTATAACCATCGCAAACCCACCGTCTTTGCTGGCTGCCGAGGGGTGAGGTAGATGCCCCTTCTGGTCTTTGGTTTTGTGCCTGCGTTCAGTTACTGTTTGTTGAGTGAGTGTATGATGCTCGGCTCTCTACAGAGAAGCTCACAGCCTAACTGAGGAGACACATTTCCCGCCTTGACAGAGCCAGGGATAGCCAGGGCCTGCTTAGGGTAGGCTGGAAGGACTTCTCTGAAGAGCTCCTCAGGTGCAGGAAACAGTAAGTGCAAAGGTCCTGCCCTCCGTCCTGCACAGTGCCCTGGTCATCTGTCCTCCCCAGCCCTCTTCCAGCCTTGCTTTTGTGCCATGGCCCCCAGAGGCCCTCTCCCCATCAGCTCTGCCCTCCCCTGCTCCTGTCCAAGGCTCTGTGGGTGGTCACCTGCCTGGCACCCATTCCCCTTTTCTTTGCCTGAATCGCTCACCACCAGCATCCTGGAACTTGCAAAACTGGCTCAGTCTCCTTTAATCCAGACTTGTCACATCCAGCTCTCCTCTCCGCACTCCCTTCTGTGCAGCAGCCAGTGGCCCTTTTCTGTTTTTCTTGTGTCTTTAACATTTATTGAGATTCACATACCATGCCTTACAATGCATGCATTTCATGTGTACAAATCACTGATATTTAGACTATTCACAGTTCAACCATTCCCATGGTCTAAATTTACATCTCCATCACCCCAAAAACTCCATCCCCATTAATTGTCACTCCCCTCTCCCCTTCCCCCAGCCCCTAATAACCACTGGTCTGCCTTGGGTTTCTGCATCGTCTTCTGGACATTTCATATAAATGGAATCATTCACTGTATATTTTTTTCTTCTTTTCACTTAGCATGATTTTTTTAAAGTATCATTGATAAATAATCTTATGTTGGTTTCAAATATACAACACAATGGTTCAACGTTTGCCCATATCATCAAGTCCTCACCCCCTCCAGTGCCCTCACTGTCCATCAATGTACTAAGATGCTCCGGAGTCCTTACCTGTATTCTCACTGTTCTACCATCCCGTGACCTACCTATATTGTGATTTCAACATGCTGTTTCTAGTGTTCATGTTGTAACTTGTATCAGCTCTTGGTTCCTTTTTATGGCTGAATAATATTCTTGATTGGATGGACCACAGTTCGTATATCCATTTCCCTCTTGATGGACATTTGAATCGTTGCCACCTTTTGGCAGTTGGAACAAGCGCTGTCATGGACGTGCATGTACAAGCTTCTGTGTGGACAATATGTTCCATTTCTCCTGGATGCAGGAGATTTTGCCCAGGAGTGGGATTACTAGACCATATGGTAGCCCCATGTTTTACATTTTGAGGAAGTCCTAAACTGTTTTCCAAATTAGCTGTACCATTTTATATCCTCACTTGTAGTGTGTGGGAGTTCCACTTTCTCCACATCTGGATCACACTAATACTTTTCCTTGTTTTAAAAATCTAGCACCTCCTAGTCAGTGTGAGGTGGGATCTCACTGTGGTTTTGATTTGCAATTCTCTGGTGACTAATGACATGGAGCATCTTTTCATGTGTGTGTTGGCCATTTGTAGATCTTCCTTGGAGAAATGTCTGTTCAGGTCCTTGACACATTTTTAGTTTGGCCGTTCATCTTTTTATTACTGTATTTTGAGAGTTCTTTATACATTTTGGGCACCATTCTATTATCTGAGAGATGATTTGCAAATGCTTTCTCCTGTTCTGGCTTTTCACCTTGTCGGTGGTGTCCTTTGCAGCACAAGCGTTTAATTTCAGTGATGTCCAATTCATCTTTTTTCTTTTTATTGGTCACTCGTGCTTCTCACATCATTCTGTTGTCTAAAAGTTTTATAGGTTTAGTTCTGATGTTGAAGTCTTTGATCCATTTTGAGTTAACTTCTGTGTGTGTGGAGGGAAAGAAGCACACTTGATTCTTGCATGTGACTCTCCAGTTGTCCAATTTGCTGAAAAGACTGTTCCTTCCCCATTGATTTGTCTGGCGCTCTTGTCCAAAATCAGTTGACCATAATTGTGGGCACTTATTTCTGGACTCAGCTCTGTTCCATCAAGTACATGTCTATGCTTAGGCCATGCCAGGCTCTCTTGTCTTGTACACACAGCTGCGTGACAAGTTTTGAAATCATGAAGTGCAAGTCCTCCAACTTTGTTCTTCAGAATTGTCTTGGCTAATTTGCTCCCTTGTGTTTTTGTGTGCATTTCACTATCTGCTTGCCAATTTCTTTGGGGCTGGTTGGGGGAAAGTTGGGATTCTGATGGGATCTGCATTGAATCTGTACCTCAAACGGGAGAGTGCTACCATCTGGTTAATGTTGTTTTGACACATGAACACGGTATGTTTCCATTTATTTAGGTATTTACACATGGCCTGCACCCCCTCTGTGCATGCCCCTAGTCAGCTTCCCCCGCCAGACTGGCAGCTCCTGAGGCATAGACCCCTCCCCGCCAGCTCGCATGAGGTCCTGGGGTCTCAGCCTCGCAGCTGTCAGCAAGAAAGATAAGTTAGAGGCCCCCTTAGTATTAGGCTCTATCTTTCAGAGGGGCCCCCGGCAGGGTGCCTCGTGTGAGGGCACAGGGTCTCTACTAGGACACCCCAGGCCTGTCCCCTGATCCCCTGGCACAGGGTCAGAAGAGGCCCTGGGCTTCCCTGTGACTGTTGAAAAGAACGAGGTAGTTCTGATGAGATACTCCTGCCCTGCGGAGAGAGGTCCAAGTCCCAGCACAGGTGGCCAGCTGCGTGTGAGTGCCACAGGGGCCCTGGGAGCTGGTCCTGGCATTCAGGCTCCTTGGAGAGGCCCTGCCTCTGAGCCCAGGAACCACAGTGCCCTTCCTACCCTGCCTCTCTTAACAAGGAAGTGTCCTACCTACCCTGAACTCATGTTTTTAGCAGGTTTAACTAAGGATTAAAAAATCGAGCCAGTTTCTCACTCATCTTTGGGGCTATCAGGGTTCAAATGAGCCGTGGACCTGAGGCAAGCGGAAGGTGAAAGATGGGGATGGGGACAGTGCAGGCACCCCCACCAGACTCCCAGAGCACCAGCTCTGCCCCCGACTAGGCCCAGGGAGTGGCCTCTGCTTGAACCACCATTTGCTGGTCATTTACTGGGTGATACCTGGAGCTCAGCCTAGTCGAACTCAGCAGTTTGTCCCTGCAACCACAAGGCCCATCCAAAGGAGAGCAAAATGCAAAAGTTAGGGAGCTCTGGGTGAGTCAGACCCCAGGTAGCTGAGCCTCCCTGAAGACCCCAGGTGCCTGTGGCCCGGTAGTCAGCATTGCAGTGCAGGTGTCCGCTGGTCAGTAAATATTCATGACCGCTTCCGTTCCCTGTGTCCAGGCAGGGGTCTCGACCCCACTGGGCTAGGAGGCAGTCACACCTGGGAGCCCAGGGGTGCTGAGTGGCCCCTGGAGGGGACTGCTGCCTCTGGAAGCCCTGTCCAGCCCCCTGTGGGCTGCATGCAGGGAGGTGGCCCAGGCAGCCACCATGGAGCTGGGACCCAGCTGCAGACAACATCCCAACTCATGAGGACCCACATGCTGCCTGGAAACCAAATGACCTTCTAGAAGGTTGGTGGGGCTAGAACCACCCAACCATAAGCATATAGACTCTCGGGCCTTCCTGCAGACCCCACCCGGTTCTGCAGCCCCTACCTTCCGGAAGCCCTGGCCTGGGGGCAGAGCGGGTGGCTGGGACAGAGGGTAGTCTGCACCTGCTGAGGAGGGGGTGGCTGTGGGAGGGGCTCTGGACCCTCCACAAAGACAAAAATTACATGATAGACAGGACCCTGGCTTTCCCCTTCCTACCCCCGACCATGTTTCTGGAGTATTTGCACAGTGAGTAGGCAGACGTCACGGGCAGGCGCGGCACGGGATGGCCTGTCTGGCGTGTGCAGGCACTGAACTGGCCCCCGTCTCCCCACAGGCTACAGCATGTTTGCTGTGGGCATTGGGGCCCTGCTCTTCGGGTACTGGAGCATGATGAAGTGGAACCGCGAGCGCAGGTAGGCCCTGGCTGGGGGGCCCTGTGCCCTAGGACCTGAGGCTGAGGGGCAAGCCCAGGATGGGCTGCCCTGGCGGTTTTTGTCAGCGGTGACCAAGCAGTGCAGATTATCAGGGCTTAGAAAATGGCCACCCAAGACGATGGCCCTGCCAGTCACATGGGACCTGAGGGACCGACGCCTGCTGTGGCCTAGGCTCAGATTCCAGCCACCTGCAAGCTTGCTGGCTGCCATAGCAGGTGGCTCCTCCTCACTGACCTCTGACAATGGGCCCCTCCACCCTGTCCTGTCTCGTGTCACGTGTCCTTAGCACCGTCCCCCAACCCTTGAGCTCGCTCACACTTGAGGCTGAAAATCCCTGAGGGTGGTGCTGGAGAGGACCCTATCTGGGGTGGGTGCTCAGCACTGTTGCATGATCTCGAGCTTCTGGGGGTGCCAGATAGTGGGGCCCCACACTGGACAGATGAGGCCTGGGACATGCCACCTGCAGAGGGGGTAGACACAGTAGTGACAACAGTGTGCTGCTGGGGCAGGGGCAGCAGCCTGGGGTGGGGATGCTACCCTGGGACCTGGGGCTGGAGTGGGGCTTTGCATTCATCCAGACTGTTCTCTGCGCTGCTGCAAGCTTCCTGGTGATGAGGGCACAGGGCGGTCAGCCTCTTCCTGGGTCACACCCTGGGTGCTGCTCTCTGAGCGCAGATGGCGCTGGGGGCTTGGAAGACACTGCAGAGCAGGGAGAAGGGAGCCCCATACAGTGCACAGGCCCCACCTTCCCTGGGCTCACACCCCACGGGTATTCTGAGATGAAGGGGTGTGGTTTTGTACCATCCAGAGCCCTGTGATGAACTCTCCCCACCCCCGGGGCTTCACCAGTCATCAGGGCATGGTGAGTTTTAACATGAAAAGGGTTTTAATTGAAAGGAAAGTGTGAAGCCAGAAGTCTTGTAGGCCAAAGGGTGCTTGTGCTATGTGCTAGCTGCACGTCCCCCGACCCTCATTTTGGGCGTCTGTGGGCAGAGCCCACCACCCCTGCCCTGCCCCACCTGCTCGCTTCTCCCCCCTCCTTCCCCACGCATAACCCAGAGTGTCTGAGGCTCATGTCTTCTGCCCCTCACCCCAGCCTGGTCTGACGTGACTGTCGGTTTTGGGGTTTCACAGGCGCTTGCAGATCGAGGACTTCGAGGCCCGTATTGCACTGATGCCACTGCTGCAGGCAGAGAAGGACCGGAGGTGGGGCTGCCAAACCAGGGTTGAGAGGCCACAGGCCTGAGGGCCCCTGGCTTCAGCTCGGGGCAGGGCCAGAATGCTTGTGGAGCCTGGCAGCTGCGTGCTTGCACGGTCAGAGCGTCCCCAGACTTGACTTAAAGACCCAAGTAGGAAGATGGAAAGGTTTCCTGAAGGAGGGGGTGTTGGGCTGCCGCTGGGGGACAGCAGGTTTGCCGGGGGAGGAGGGGAAAGGAGAAGGCTCAGTGCGCAGGGCCTGAAGCAGCAGGAGGTGGTGGGGACTGGAAGGTGGAGAGCCCTGGCGGGTGCATCAGGCAACATAATGAGGCCCCCACCTCCCATGCTGTCCCTGCAGGGTGCTGCAGATGCTTCGGGAAAACCTGGAGGAGGAGGCCATCATCATGAAAGATGTGCCCAACTGGAAGGTGGGTCCCAGGCAGGGAGGGCGGGGTCCAGTCCGCTGCAGAAACGCAACCTACCAAGGAAAACCTGAAGCGAGGGGTGGGTGCCAGGTGTGCGGCGCCGAAGGCATCCCCCCCTTTTTTAATTTTGGTATCGCTAATGAACAATTACATGAACAACATGGTTACTAGGCTCCCCCCATCATCAGGTGCCCCCCACATACTCCATTATGGTCACTGTCCATCAGCGTAGTAAGATGCTATAGAATCATTACTTGTATTCTCTGTATATAGGAAGGCAGCCCCTTTTAATGTGGGCGCTGACCGCCAGGGTGGGTCCCAGCAGGCGGTGCGGGCCTGAGGGGGCAGCTGCACCCCACCAATCCCTGTTGTCCCCACAGGTGGGAGAGTCCGTGTTCCACACCACGCGCTGGCTGACCCCCGTGATGGGGGAGCTCTATGGGCTGCGCCCGAGCGAGGAGATCATCCGCAACACCTACAGCTTCCTGTGGTACATGTAGGGGGCCTGCAGCGCTCAGACCACCAGCCCCTGCCGCCTCCCCACCAGGATGGAATAAAGGCTCTGGAGACAGGCCTGCCTGTGTCCTTGCAGCTAACTGGGATGGGGGCACACAGACTAGATCTGGGGACTCCAGCAGAACATGTCAGGCGGGGTGCCTTAAAACCCATCCAGAGGCTGCCTCTGGGTCCAGCAACCTCGACCCCAAATATCCCGGGATCCTTCCTCCATTTGAAATTGCTTGTCAACAGCCCACCTCTCCAGTCTTGGGGCTTCCTCACGAGGGCACAGGGGTGGGTGGGGGACCTGGAGAGGAGAGCCCTGGCGGCAGAGGCGGCGCACCCCGTGCTCCCGGGCCAGGATCCCGCAGCGGTGTGACCGGTCCTGAATTCCCCGGACCTCGTTTCCCAGCCCAGATCCGCGCGTCGGTTTTGCCGGCGCGCCCGCGGGCAGCTTTACCCCGGCGTGAGAGGGTTAAGTCCCCCGCCATCGGCCAATGGCCGCCCGCAGCGCCTCCGCGGCGCCGCCTGATTAGCGGACCCGCAGCGGGCGGAGCGCCCCGGCGGGGGCTGCGCTTAAATGCCAGAGGCGGCGGTGCCCGTCCCGCACACCTTGGCCATGAGCTGCGCGGCTGTTTCGGACCTGGCGGCGGCGCCGGAGGAGCGGCGTTTCCTCAGGTCAGCCGGGGAGGGGCGCGGCCGTGGGATGGGGTCCGGGGGAGTCGTTGGGCTGGAGCCACTGTGCCTGCCGCCGCCAATGCCACCCGAGCCGCGTTCCCTGGGAAACTGCAACCGTGGTGGGCCCGCCCCTCATGCATTATTCATCAGCACCGCTGGGGACTCCCCATCTTCCTGGCCCCGCCGGTCCAGGCCTCACCGCGCTGTCCCTCCCTCCCAGGGACCCTGGAGCCCGCCGCTCCTTGTCCGTCTAGGAAGAGCTGAGCTCTCCTAGTACTGAAAGGGCCCATACCCGCCTTGGAGCCCCCTTGTCCAGAGGGGAAACTAAGGCTCAAACAGGACAACCACTACCTGTGCCAGGACTGGGGCAATTTCTGAACACATGGGCCACGTGTCAGGGGTCTGAAGCTGGCAGCTGCGGCTGTCTCCCCTCGTCCTGAGTCCCCCTCCTGTGGGACGTGAGGCCCCAAGCAGGGCTGTGGACCTCACGGGAAACCAGATTCACCCAACACCCCCTTGTCGACCGCCTCAGTCCTGTCCACACAGCCCTTTTCCCAGGGCAGATACCGTCCAGGGACTGATGTCCAGGTGCAGCCTAGAGCCCCAGCTCATCCTAGGCAGAGGGAGAAGAATGTTCTGGAAGATGGCCCTGCGATTTCACCTTGTGTGGGGATGGCGGGGCCTCAAATGCCAAGTGAGAAGGATGGGGCACTATGGGGTGGGTGGGGGTGGGATGTGGGGGGCAAGGGGAGAGGAGGCAGTGAGACGGGGGCCATGTAGGCATGGTGAGGGATTTGAATATTCTTTGACTCCTGGGAAGCCACAGGAGGATTTGGGACAGGGGTGGGCAATGCAGTCTGGGGTTCAGGTTTTCGAAGCCCTTGTGCTCGTGTTGAAGAGGAGTTTGGGTGTCGTGGGACTGCTGCAGGTGGCCCAGTGAGTAATGGTGGCAGGCTGGCGGGAGGAGGTGGGAGGACGGGGAGAGGCAGGGGAGGTAGGGCACAGGAGCCCAGGCCTCGCGGCTTCCCCTCCCAAAGAGCCCTCTCCCTTAAGCAAGTTGGGACGCCTGGCCCAGGCCCATATGGAACCAGGCCCGCCCAGCCCTCTGGGCTGGCGGGGAAACTCTGATAGTGGGAGCTCCTCTCCTCTCCGGGCTGAGGTAGGAAGGAGCAAGGGGCACCCTCCTGACAGCCTCTTCCTCTGTACCCCCGACACTGAGCCCCACAACGCCTCTGCCCTGTCCCTCTCTTCACTGGTCCTAATGCCCTCGCAGGCTCACCCAGAGCCTCTGCTGCCACCATCCCAGGTCCCTCGCCTGGCCCTCCCCACCCTTACCACTCTAACGACCAATTAGGATGGTTCCGTTCCCAGTGCTGGCCCAAGGCCACAGCTTCGGGACAGAGGGAGAGGAGTGATGGGTAGCCTCCATCCTCATCCTCATCCTACGGGGGCAGCTGCCGGAGCTGTCACACGATGATGGTGGAGGAATGAGATCCATTCCCAAGCTCGTCTCCCCCAGCGTTCCTACCCAGGAGCTGGGCCAGCCCACCCTGGGAGTGCCCTTTAGCTGGCCCCACTGTGAGCTCCTTTCCACGCCTGGTCCTCCACTTCATCTGAGGTGAGCTGGGATTGAGTCTGACTCCGGCTGCTGCGTGACTCAGGGCATGTGGCCCCCCTGCCGTAAGCCTCTATCTCCCCCATCCGCATGGGCTCCCAGAGTGTCATTCCCACCACAGAGCCTTGGCCTTCACTGTTCTTGCCGTCTGGATCACCTCGCACAGTGTCAGCTCCTGCGGAAGCCCTCCCCGACTCCCCAGCCCATGCAGTCCTCGCTCCCCACCGTATGCCCCTGCAGCCACCCAGCCTGATCACACTGCAAAATCGGCCTATGGTTGGCGGTCTTTTGCTCACAGAATTGAAGAAAGGAAGCTCAGTATTCATCCCGACAAACCTCTGCCCTCTGTGGGTCTGACTCTGCTTCTCTGCTCACACCGTCCGTGGCTCTAGACTCAGCCTCCAAGGGTGGCGGGGGCAGTGTTCCTGCTCGCTTCCTGCATGAGCCTGGGCAAGCCACTTGGCTTCTCTGAGTTGTTGGATATTCTTCTAACTTCTGGGCCTGGGTCTTTTATTATTATTATTATTATTATTATTCCATTCTATAGGGCTGTTGAGCTGAGCGTTAGGTGCTGTTCTCCAGCCAGAAGGGGTCCTGCTGAAGGGAGGCTGGCATCTAGCCACACACCCCTGATTCTGGGGTGAGGAACATCTTCAGCTCCTCAGTGCCAGCTCTCCCTCTCTGCACCAACCATGCCCATGCCCCTTGGAAGCCCCCTATGCCAGGGCTAGGAGGTTGTTATTCCAGAAGGGCCCACCACTTGGTTTAATGCTGTGCCATCACCATCTCAAAATTCTTAATTTTTGAAAGAGGGGCCCCACATTTGCATTTTGAACTGGGCCTCATAAATGATTCAGTCCCTCCTGCCTTCACTTTTGCAAAGGAGGAAGCAGGTGTCAAGTGAAACAGATTCCTGTCACTCAGCAAGTATATGCCCCATTGTTCTGCACAATGATATGAATTTTATTACTGCTCCATCAAAGGGTCTCATAGCTGCTGGCTGCACATCCACTTTCTTCAGTGAGCCATCAAACTCCTCTGCAACCTTCAAAACCCATGCTCCGCAGACACCAGTCCAGTCCGCCCCCTCCAATGTCCTGGAGTGCACTCAGTAGTTTTCACTGCCGGGAATCTGCCCACCGTCCGCGTCAAAGTTCAGGCTGCATTTCTCCTGCTTCCTCCCACCTTCGGGGTTGGGGGCGCCTGACAGGCCTGGGGCAATAGAACCAACATGCGCCTCCCAGACCACCAGAGGGCGCCTACGCTTCAGGTTTGGGCTTTTAAACCTCCCGCTGAGGCCTAGCTTCCATTTAAACCTTGTGCGCCTCCCTAAGGAAACAGGTTGGAAGGCGGCGCCAGGGCCTGGCTAGGGGCATTGGTGGGGCATTTTTGGCTCCATCTGAGCTGCTGTCTCCGGGTCTCTCTCTCCGTGGCTGTGTCTCTGAGCTGCTTTTCCCACTCTGTCCTCCAGCACTGCGGAGGCAGCCGCCCTGGAGCGGGAGCTTCTGGAGGATTACCGCTTCGGGCGGCAGCAGCTGGTGGAGTTGTGCGGCCATGCAAGCGCCGTGGCTGTGGCCAAGGTACCTGACCCACGGCCCTGACCCCAACCGTTTGACCAGCCCATGAGAGCTGAAGCCTAGGTGCACAATCCCTGTGGCCCGGATGGTTCATCCAAGAGCCCCTCTTTGCTTGGGACCACCCCAGCCTGTCAGTCAGATGAGGAAACTGAGACCCAGAGAGGATCATCACTGGTTCGGGCCAGGCAGGCACCCGAGTCAAAGGGTGTCATCAGTGAAGGTGAGGGCAGAGTCTGGGATTCCCCAGAGACTCAGAAGCTGTGGAGCAGGGACCAGTGTGGGGCCACTGAGGCACAGATATGACCACCTGCCTGTCACCTCCTGGGTCTTGCTCAAGGGGGCCATGGTCTCCTGCAGTCTGCGTACCCCGAAGCTACCCCACGTTACAGGAGGGGAAACTGAGGTCCAGAGACAGGGAGGGGCCTGCACAGGGCATGAGGGCTTGGAAGCAGAGCTGTGTCCTGCTCTGGGGCAAGCCTCCAGCCCTTGAGGTGCCTGCAAGTAACACAAGAGAAATAGCCAGGACTATATTACCACCCAGCACCTTGGGCGATGAACCGAACCACGCTGGGCCCGTTTCCTCCTTGAGGAAAGGATAATAAACCGACACCAGTGCATAAATGCACACACCTCAGAGAAGTGCCCCATGGAATCAGGCGTGTAACCCTCCCCTGCTCTTTGTCCCTTCTTCCTTCTTTGAATTATTGCACAGTATACTTTTTTTAAAACTCAGTATCTTTAAGTGAACTCTCTCTCTCTCTTTTTTTTTTACTTAAATGTTCCTATTTCCAAATGAAACATATCCTGAGCTAGGTGCCCAGAGGAGAAGGAAATGGTGCAAATCAGAGCCACAAAGCAAACACGGTGTAGCGAGCTCTTGCCTGGCCTTTGGTAACCAACTGTCCAGTTCTGGCCCTGAAAGTCCCGGGATGTCTGAGACTGGCCCTTGTCACCTGGACGGCCTCTCAGGCTCTGGGCCTGGTGTCTTGCTGTGCCAGACATGATCAGGGTGGGCCAGGGGCTCGCTCAAACCTTGGGGAGGAGGCTCAGAAAGGGAGTAACTTCCCGTCTGTGTGGTGGGAGGATAGAGCGCAGCCAGGCCCCCAGGAGCCAGCCCTGGCCGGAATTAGAACCAACATGCGCCTCCCAGACCACCAGAGGGCGCCTACGCTTCAGGTTTGGGCTTTTAAACCTCCCGCTGAGGCCTAGCTTCCATTTAAACCTTGTGCGCCTCCCTAAGGAAACAGGTTGGAAGGCGGCGCCAGGGCCTGGCTAGGGGCATTGGTGGGGCATTTTTGGCTCCATCTGAGCTGCTGTCTCCGGGTCTCTCTCTCCGTGGCTGTGTCTCTGAGCTGCTTTTCCCACTCTGTCCTCCAGCACTGCGGAGGCAGCCGCCCTGGAGCGGGAGCTTCTGGAGGATTACCGCTTCGGGCGGCAGCAGCTGGTGGAGTTGTGCGGCCATGCAAGCGCCGTGGCTGTGGCCAAGGTACCTGACCCACGGCCCTGACCCCAACCATTTGACCAGCCCATGAGAGCTGAAGCCTAGGTACACAATCCCTGTGGCCCGGATGGTTCATCCAAGAGCCCCTCTTTGCTTGGGACCACCCCAGCCTGTCAGTCAGATGAGGAAACTGAGACCCAGAGAGGATCATCACTGGTTCGGGCCAGGCAGGCACCCGAGTCAAAGGGTGTCATCAGTGAAGGTGAGGGCAGAGTCTGGGATTCCCCAGAGACTCAGAAGCTGTGGAGCAGGGACCAGTGTGGGGCCACTGAGGCACAGATATGACCACCTGCCTGTCACCTCCTGGGTCTTGCTCAAGGGGGCCATGGTCTCCTGCAGTCTGCGTACCCCGAAGCTACCCCACGTTACAGGAGGGGAAACTGAGGTCCAGAGACAGGGAGGGGCCTGCACAGGGCATGAGGGCTTGGAAGCAGAGCTGTGTCCTGCTCTGGGGCAAGCCTCCAGCCCTTGAGGTGCCTGCAAGTAACACAAGAGAAATAGCCAGGACTATATTACCACCCAGCACCTTGGGCGATGAACCGAACCACGCTGGGCCCGTTTCCTCCTTGAGGAAAGGATAATAAACCGACACCAGTGCATAAATGCACACACCTCAGAGAAGTGCCCCATGGAATCAGGCGTGTAACCCTCCCCTGCTCTTTGTCCCTTCTTCCTTCTTTGAATTATTGCACAGTATACTTTTTTTAAAACTCAGTATCTTTAAGTGAACTCTCTCTCTCTCTTTTTTTTTTACTTAAATGTTCCTATTTCCAAATGAAACATATCCTGAGCTAGGTGCCCAGAGGAGAAGGAAATGGTGCAAATCAGAGCCACAAAGCAAACACGGTGTAGCGAGCTCTTGCCTGGCCTTTGGTAACCAGCTGTCCAGTTCTGGCCCTGAAAGTCCCGGGATGTCTGAGACTGGCCCTTGTCACCTGGACGGCCTCTCAGGCTCTGGGCCTGGTGTCTTGCTGTGCCAGACATGATCAGGGTGGGCCAGGGGCTCGCTCAAACCTTGGGGAGGAGGCTCAGAAAGGGAGTAACTTCCCGTCTGTGTGGTGGGAGGATAGAGCGCAGCCAGGCCCCCAGGAGCCAGCCCTGGCCGGAACAGCACTCCCCCACCCCCATGCCCATCAGAGCTATTGGCACTCCAGTTTGATACAGGCAACTGAGGCTGGGAGAGGAGGGGCCACAGAGAGTCAGGCAAGGCTGGGACTCAAACACCAGTGTCTTAACTCCTGCATTTAAGGGAGGCACAGAGTGTGAGAGATAGAGACTGTGACAGAGAGAGACAAACTGGAGAGACACAGAGAGTCAGAGATACAAGGAGAAAGCCAGAGCCATGAAGACTGGCAGACGGAGAGGGACAGGGCATCTCAGTTTGGAAAAGTACCCCCCTCTCCACCCGGCTCTGGGAGGGGCCAGGCCTGGAAACACGGGTGGGGGAGGGGCAGTGGAAAAAGGTGGAAGAATGTCTGCAACTCAGACTGAGAATAAACAAACCTCCCTCAGGGCGCAGTGGCAGGAGGCACGTTTTCCTGCTTCCACTTGGCAGAGCCTGAGGCAAGGACTCTGAGCCTCCAACAAGGAAACAGACCCCAAGAGTGTCTCACCCAGAATGCCTCTCTTCCTGTCCTAGCCTATTGCCTGCAGGCCCATGGCCTGTCCCTTCCTCAACTCTGGGCCTCAGTTTCCCCACCTGAGCAAGAAGACATGCCCAGTGCCATGCCTTTGCCTTTGCCGTGTCCCCTACCAGGTGTTCCCCTTGCCTGCTCTCTCCCGGAAGCAGAGGATTGTGCTGGTCGTGTGCGGCCCAGAGCAGAATGGGGCTGTGGGACTGGTCTGTGCCCGGCACCTGCGGGTGTTTGTAAGTAACAGGGACGCCTTCAGCTTCCCAGGGTTACCCCCAACACTGTCCCTGCAGAAATTGCTTTCTCCTCTTGATGTTTCAGAGCTTGCCCCAGGCAGGGTCTGCTGCCTGGTACCCAGGTCTGGGGGCTAAGGCCCTGGGGACACTGGGAGGGCCCCCAGTGCTGACTCCTTCCCACCCCCCCAGGAGTATGAACCGACCATCTTCTACCCCACCCGCTCCCTCGACCTGCTGCACCGCGACCTGACTACCCAGTGTGAGAAAATGGACATTCCCTTTCTATCCTATCTGCCCACAGAGGTCAGTGCTCGGTGGTGACTGACGGAGGGAGGTGGGGGGACAATGGCCCAAGGCCTCCCTGACCCTGCGTGTCCTCCCAGGTCCAGCTCATCAATGACGCCTACAGGCTGGTGGTGGATGCTGTGCTGGGCCCCGGCGTGGAGCCTTGTGAGGTTGGGGGCCCCTGCATACGCACGCTGGCCACGCTCAAACTGCTGTCCATCCCCCTTGTGAGCCTGGACATTCCCTCAGGCATGTCAGGTGGAGGGGGGTTGGGGGGCCCCAACCTGTCTGTCCACCGTGAGCCTGTTTCCCTGGTGTGGATGGGTCATGCACTCTGGGGGAGACTGCAGCTCACGTCCAGCCTGTGGATGGCAAAGACCATCACACGGATGCTGTCCATTTGTCCCTGTGTCCCTCTCCCCCCACCATCCAGCCCAGCCTGCCCACTGCCCACCCTGGGCCAGCCACCCGGGCAGACGTGAGCTCACTCGGCAAAGGCCTTGCCTGCCCTGGCCGCCGCCCCGTGCCTGTTGGAGCCATTAGGCAATGGGCAGACGGAACAAACAGCTGCTGGCCAGCCAGACCCTCCACGGGGGTGGCTGGACTCAACGGAACATCCCCAGGCTTGCAAGACCCCAGGGCCATCCCAGCCGGGAGCCACAGAGCAGGGGTTGGCTGTGAGGATGTGGGCTGGCCCGTCTGAGGATGAAGGCTAGGGTCACAGAAGGGAGGGTTAAGGTCAGAGGGAGGAGGCTTTTAGTTAGTGGGCCCAGACTCTGGTCAGAGGCAGGAGAGAAGGCAAAGCCCCTAGTCTGGAGGTGGAGGCTCGTTAGAGGCTAACGAGGGAGGGGTTGGGGTGCTGTCAACTCAAAAGACGAGACCTAGTCTGAGGGTAAAGGCAGGGATGTCTAGTCAGAGGATAGATGCTGAAACTGGGTGGTGAGGGCGGCCTGTGTTAGCAGATGCAAGAACCTGGGGCGAGGGGACAGGTCTGATGGAGGAGCTTTGCCTGAGGAGGGAGGCAGTTGTGTCCTCTGGGTAGAGAGTGGGCATCTGGTCAGAGAGGTAAGGCCAGCGGGAAGTCTGGATGGAAAACGGCTCTAGTCTGAGTGGAGAAGCTCAGGATTGACAGGGAGGGAGACAGATGCTGGGTCAGAGAGCAGAGGCATGGGTCTCATTGGGGAAGGGCCACAGGTGGGAATGGTGTACTGTGAAGGCAGAGGCTGCGTCACATGCAGGAGAAAGACTGGGTAGCAGGTGGGAAAAAGGGCAGAAAAGTCTGAGGGCAGAGGCTCCGGTCAGAGGGGGAGGGAAACCCCTCCCAGGACAGGGGGAGACGAGTCTGTGGGCGGAGGCTCCGCTGAGGCGGGTCAGAGAGCAGAGGCCGCATCTCACGGGGGAGGGGAAGCGGCCGTCGAGGCGGCAGGACTGTGAGGCGAGCACCCCTCGCAGCTCCCGACCCCCGTCCCGACGTCCCCCCTCAGGCTGGGACGCGGAGACCGGCGGCGGGGAGACGGAGGACGGGCTCCGGCCGGATGTGCTCGTGTCGCTCACGGCGCCCAAGCGCTGCGCCGGCCGCTTCTCCGGGCGCCACCACTTCGTCGCCGGCAGGTTCGTGCCCGACGACGTGCGCCGCAAGTTCGCTCTGCGCCTGCCAGGGTACACGGGCACCGACTGCGTCGTGGCGCTGTGACCGCCACGCGTCCCCGCGGCCGGGCCCCGCGCCAATAAACACATCGCGCCGCCGCCACCTGGCCTCTGCCTCCTCTGTGCGCCGGGGTGCCGCGCGGGTGGGCAGACGCGGGGAGGGCCTTCCACCGGGCCCCCGGCGGCCCAAGGACGAAGGGGTGGAGGGTAGACAGAAGGACTTCTCGCCGGCCTCCGAGGAAGCTCGAGCAGCCAGGGTGGAGGGTAGGTGCACGGTGGGCTTCCAGCCTGCGCGGGGCGGCCTAACGCCGAAAGGATCGAACCTGCCTCGACGGACGGTTTCTAGCCGCCTAAAGGGCCGCCCGAGGCGTCATGGTTCCAAGAGGCACGTCCCGCGGCACCGCGGGTCCCTACGTGGAGAGCGGGCGGTGGGCCGGGCTGAAGGAGGGGCTTCCAGCGGGCGGCGACGAGGGACGCGCGCCAGCCTGAGGGCGGAGGCGCCGCCGGACGCACCGAGGGGGGCGCCCACGGGGCTGGTTCGCTAGCGGCGGCCTCCCTGGGGCCTGGAGGGGCGTGGCCGGGGCGGGGTGGGGCCTGCGGGCGCGTCCCGCCCCCACCCTCAGCCCCAGCGCCCGCCAGACCCGCGGGAGTCCGACCCGAGCGCCCAGCGGACCCCGGACCACCGCTCGGACGCTCGGACCCGGCCATGGCGTCGCTGCTGCCACTGCTCTGCTTCTGTGCCGCCGCCGCACACCTGGCGGGGGCTCGAGGTGAGGCACCTCCGACCCCCAGAACAGCCCGCGGGGCGCCCGAACGTCTGGCAGCCGGCCTGGCGTGCAGCCGGCCTGGGGAGGAACCGGCGGGTCTCACTCACTTCCCCAGCCCGGATTCCCTTCCCCAGCCCCGGGGGGCTTAGGGGGGTGAGGGAGAGAGAGCCGTGGAATCAAGTCGGGCGGGAAGGGGCCCTCTTCTGCCGCCTTCCCCCCTGGAACAGTGGGGGGGGCACCCGCAGTGCGGCCGAGACCTTCAGCTTCCTCGGGGTTCCCTGGGTACTGCAGGGCGCCCATTTCAGCCCCAGGTTTAGACCCTGCCGCACCCGGTCCTGGCTCTGGGATGAAGGGACCAGAGCCAGCCCCTCTCATCTGACTCTTCCCCTCTTCCACACCCACACACACACACACACACACACACGCACGCACACACACACACACCTCTCAGGAAAGGAATTCGCATCTGTGGAGTGCTCGGTGGAACTGGGAACCGGGCCCATTTCTCAGATGAGTAGACTGAGAGAGAGGCTTGGAGAGGGAAGGGGCTGGTCTGAGGTCATTGCCCAGCCAGACTATCTCAAGTAACTCCAGGCCAGAGAAGCCAAGCTGAATTCCAAAGACTTCCCATCGGCAGCCTGGGCCCCAAGTGCAGGGATGGAAGGTAGACTAGAGAGGGACTTGTAGCCAACAAATGGATGAAGGGGAATGCAGCACAACCAGAGGGCAGAGGCCCACATGACTGGACCCATGGCGACTGAGCATGCCAAGGGCTGACTGGGTCTCGGGGAGCAGGGTCTTGCGGGTGGGATGGGGCTGTGGGAGACTGGGGAGGCTTCCTGGAAGAGGGGTGCTGCAGTTCTTGGGGTCAGCCAGAGCTGAGTCCTGCCTCCTCAGAGCCTCAGATTTCTCCTCTGTGAGTGGGGACGATCCTGGCAGCACCTCAAGGACAAGGAGCTCAAAGCGGCTCACCATTGCATTTTCTCCCTGAATTCCCACTCTTCCCACAGGCACCACCTCCCCCGAGAAGCCCACAGCACCAGCCTGGGGCTCTGACAGTCCATCGCTTCTCCCTGGCCAGCCCTCGCCAGCCCTGGAGGACTGGGAAGGTGAGTTAGCCCTACACCCGCATCCTGGCTCTGCCTTAGACTCGCTGTGGGAGTTCTGGCTGGTGGGCTCCCGTGAAGAGGGGACACAAGCTGGGTCACGAGCCCAAAACCATCCTGGTGCCTGGACAGGGCAGCCCCTGAAAGTGGACCCCCCCCCACCAGAAGGTCTAAGTCTTAGAAGCAGGGAGTTGAGAGTTCGGGCTGTCTGTCAAGGAGGAAAGGCAGAGGTGAAGTGGGGGCCAACCTGCCCAGATCATACAGGTAAACAGGAGTTCTAGAACCTGAGTCTGTCCTCTCCTGGCCAGGAAGGGTGCTCTTGAGTCAGGGAAGGAGTTAGCGCCTGGGCAGGAGGTGACGGAAGCAGAAGCTGACCTGTGGGAGGGCAGCCCCTTCCTGCCCATAGATTTTGTGCAGCAGAGTTTGCCTGACTCCTGGCACCTCCCGCTGCCTTTACATCTCAGCACACCTCAGGGGTTCCGAATTCTGAGGATGGGGGCTGGTGAGACAGTGACAAGATGTCAGTGCCCACGGATGGGCCAGCTCAGGCTCTGGGCAGCAGAACTAGGGCTGGTGCACAAAGAGGCCAATCTGTCTCGATGCCTGTAGTACCTGATGCGCTAGTGGGCTCTGGATTTGGGTGGAGTCATGTGAAGGGTCAAGTGCGCATTCGTGGGCTACCCAGTGTTCACGTGGGGGGCCCCCCCTTAGATAGCAGGTAATACTTGCACAGATGGGGTGGGCAGGCTGCTGTTCCCAGGAGTGCATGCGCCGATGGGGCCCGACAGGCTGCGGCCCGGGTCCCAGCGCGTGCGGTGCCTGCAGAGACCAGCGAGTGGACGTCCTGGTTCAACGTGGACCACCCGGGCGGCGACGGCGACTTCGAGAGTCTGGCTGCCATTCGCTTCTATTACGGGCCAGCGCGCGTGTGTCCGCGGCCGCTGGCGCTGGAGGCACGCACCACTGACTGGGCCCTGCCATCCGCCGTCGGCGAGCGTGTGCACCTGAACCCCACGCGCGGCTTCTGGTGCCTGAACCGCGAGCAGCCGCGCGGCCGTCGCTGCTCCAACTACCACGTGCGCTTCCGCTGCCCCCTAGGTGAGGGCGGAGCCTGGGCGGGACTGGGAGAGCCAGGGCCGGGTTGTAGGTGGGTTGGATCCGGGTGGGTGGTGCCAGGGAGGGTGCGGGCCTTATGTTGGGCGCGTGGCTAACAGGAGGCGGGGTCCTTTAGAAGCTCGGGCCCAAAAGAGGGCGCAGGACTGATAGGGTCTTGGCTTTGGAAGGGAGGAGGAGGGAATAGCTGGGGTCCAGGTGGGGAGCAGCAAGGGGCCCCCAGGACATCATCTCCCTCCCGCAGCCCTCATTTGCTCACCAGTAGCAGCTGCGTTCTGTGTGGGCGTGTTTTGAGCCTCAAATAGTTGTGGGACGCAAGGAGAACAGCAGGGCTAATCTCAGGGAGTTTATTGCGGGGGAACAGGGCGATACCTCAACTGCACCTTCTACAGGTGCACCTGAAGGAGCCCTGGTGTGTGCGGGCAGCCAAAGGGCCTTGTCTGGAGAACCTACCCTCGGGTACGCAGGGCAGGGGGCTTCCTTCGGTCCCACATCGTCACCAGGTTTCCAGGAGGCTCAGCCCCTCCGGTGGGTGGCCTCCTGACTTCCCCTCCTCCCTGCCTCTCTGCAGAGGTCGCCTGGGGCCCGTGGGGCCCTTGGGGTCCCTGCTCCGCGACCTGCGGGCCAAGCCGTCGATTACGCCGCCGCCGCTGCCCCAGCCCCACTAAGAATGCGTGTCCGGGGCGTCCCGTGGAGGCGCAGAAGTGTGTGCGGGCTCCGTGTCCAGGTAGGGGTGGTGGGTCCTGGAGGAGAGACTCGTGTTATGGGCGGGGCCTGGATGTGGAGGGGCGGGGCCTGTTGAGGGAAGTACCTGGAAGGGAGGGACTAGGTGGGAGGGAGCCTGGTGAGGCGGGGGAGGGCTGGAGGGAAGAGGTAGGGCCTGAACATGACGGCGGGGCCTGGAAAGTCAGAACTTGGACCACGTGGAGACTGGCTTGTCCATCCCTTCTGGGCCCCAGAGGAGCACTGGTGAAAATGCACGTCTGGACGGGTGAACGCCACGGGGGTCTTGTCCAGGCATGGGCAGACCTGAGGGGGCGTTTCCCCCGTGCGCATGGCCGAGTGTGCGGATGTCTTGGTGGATGTGCGCACACACAGAAGCTGGCTCACGCACTCCGGCTACACACACGCGTGGCATTCGCAGCCCCCGCCCGTCCCCCACGCCCACGCGGACACGTGCTCACACCCTGGCAGACACGATGCCCAAGTCCTCCCAGGGCCAGACAGCAGGCCAGCCAGGAGGCGACTGGAAATTCCGATCCGGCCCGGGCTCCACAAACATGGTCTGGAGACAGCCGGCAGAACCCGTGGCAGGGTGGGGGAGCCCAGTGGCCAATGGGGCGGTGGGGTCCCCACCCTACCTCGCCTGGCTCTGCCCTCCCCATGCCTTTGCCATGAAGTTTCCAGTGGAATTTTCCATTTTATAGAGAAACCACGAGATTGGCAAGGGAGGGAGATGTCTGAGCTCAAGTCCCAACCCCTCGCCGGGCCCCCAGCCCCTGCCTGGACATTTTCCCTCACGCGGGAAGGAGCTTCTCTGTCCCGTGACAGTCGTGGTAGCTCCTGTCCTCTCCTCCAGGGAATCTTCCGCTAGGACCCTGGGTCCCTCCCTCTGGCCCAGCCCTGACCACTTAGCCCCATGTCCTCCCTTGCACTTGAGGCTGCTTCAAGCAGGGCCACGCTGAGGCCTCTGAGGGTTGGGGAGAGTGTGTGTGTCCAGGCACCTTTGCCGAGTGACCGAGCAGGAAGCCCTGCCCAGCTGGTGTGAAGAGGCGCCTCTGCCCCTCTGTCTCCCTGTGTTCCCAGGGTGCAGTTCCAAAACATGCAGGTGCCCTGACCACACCCTCCTGGGCTCAGTGGTTACCCAATCTGGGCATTTGCTGCCAGGAGCCAGGATCTCCCTGCGAGACTCACCTGGCACTGTGGCCATCAGTGATGAGCATGGAACCTTCCGGATGCCTGGAGTCTGTGCCAGCAGCCGGGCCAACGTCAGT